CACTAGCTGGCCACTGGGAGAACAGGATGCTAGACTGGCTAGGCCACTGGCCTGATCCAGGAGGCTCTTATTATGTTCTTAACAGCACACAAGAGTTTGAAGTAAAGCTCAGGGAAATTTCTAAAATGAAAAGTTCTAGGCTGAAGTCAGCCTTGTTCTTCTGTCCCAGAAGCATTATTCCAGATGTACAGGTTAGTTTGCATCATCTATAAACAAAGAAAAGGCATTGTGCAAATCCCCAAAGGCTATCTTACATTGCAAGAGGCATTTTTTTTAAAAAAGTGCACAGCTTAGTCCTAGCTGAGCAAACCCAGACGAACATAGAATTTAGTCCTTTTGTCTGTATTAAATAGAAATGTTCCTGTGTCATTTGCATGCATACTAGGCTTCCTGTGCCTAATTATGAACTCTTCTTTTACATTAGGGATGGCCAACTAGCAGTGAACGGGTCATATCAAATCCCTGAGACAATTCTTCCAGTCCTTGGTGATCCAAATTTAATTAAGGTATATTCAAATACTTAACCATAATTTCATTTGCAAGGGAAAACAACAGTAACAATGTTTTCAAGTTGTTAACAGTTATACTCTACATCTTATTATGAAACCAGAACACCGATGAACTGCTATGTGAATGGTGTGTGTGTTTTTTTGCTTTGAAAAACAAGGTACGTATTCCTAAATAATTAGATAAATAAGGTACATGGCAAAATGTACTTTCAGACCTGGACTACTCATGAAAAATAGAGCAACATGGTGCCATCCAGAGGTTGTTTGACTTCCATCAGAGATCTGCAGAGTTGGAAGGGACTCTGATGGTCATTCTAGTCCAATCCCCTGCATTGCATCCTTGACCACTGGTCATGCTGGCTGCTGCTGCTGGAAGTTGAAGTTCAACATCTGGAGGGTACGACGTTAGCCCCTAAAAACCAAGAACTTTGTCATCCCCTTTTTATGTAATCATCAGATTTGTCCCCCGCCTTCTCAGTATAAAAGACTGAGGGAACAGAAAGCACATTTGAAAACTCAAAACTTTGCATTAGTTTGCATTCTGTAGAGCTATGCTTACTGTAATTATTTTATGGTGCATTGAACATGGGGGGGGGAGGGTGGGGGGAGAGAAAAGAAACAGAAAATTGACCTGATTGAGTTCCACACTTCTCCCAACTCTTTGGAGTATTGTTTCTCAAAATGACTGAGAACAACTTGGCATATTTTCTTTTGAAGCTTTGTTTTTGATTTTGTTTCCAACTTGGAGAGAAGATGACAAAAAAAGCATATATGAATACCAATTACCCAAAGGCTGTACTGTACTTATACTTTAACTCTATGTGGAACAGTTTAATAAGCTGTATTCTCAACAAGTAACTGATGTTTCTATGCCAGCATGGATTCTTAAAAGGTTAATACAAAAAAATTGTGAATAAGTTCCCCTTCCACTTCACTTTAAAATAACTGTATTCCAACCCCACTTACCTAGGAGAGGCCTGATGAATTAAGCAATGCTTAATTCTGAGTAGACATGGTTAAGATTTCACTGTAAGTTGTTTATTATTACTGACTTGCTAGTTGCTTCTTAGGGACGCGGGTGGCGTTGTGGGTAAAAGCCTCAGCGCCTAGGGCTTGCCGATCGAAAGGTCGGCGGTTCGAATCCCCGCGGTGGGGTGCGCTCCCGTTGCTCGGTCCCAGCGCCTGCCAACCTAGCAGTTCGAAAGCACCTCCGGGTGCAAGTAGATAAATAGGGACCGCTTACTGGCGGGAAGGTAAACGGCATTTCCGTGTGCTGCGCTGGCTCGCCAGATGCAGCTTTGTCACGCTGGCCACGTGACCCGGAAGTGTCTCCGGACAGCGCTGGCCCCCGGCCTCTTAAGTGAGATGGGCACACAACCCCAGAGTCTGTCAAGACTGGCCCGTACGGGCAGGGGTACCTTTACCTTTACCTAGTTGCTTCTTATCAGAAGGTTTCCCCTCCCCTCCCCCCAAGCATCTTACAATACATTTACAAATATAAAAATGCAGAAGCAACAGTAAAAAACCTCTAGAAAAATGCAAACGCGGCAGCAAAAACCTCTAGAATAAGCAAGCAAAAGACTGTTTCTTCCTGCCTGTCCACAGAACCAGTTGAAAATATTTTGCTGCCTGAGGCAAAGGACAAGATGGTCCATTTGTCCCCAGTTCCACGTATGGAAGCTGACAACACTGGCAACAGAATGGCGTCATTCACTGCACCTGGATGTGTGTGTGGCTCTGATCTCCAGCAGAGGGAGATCAAATGTCAGAGGCTCAGGAGTGCTAAGGACACTTCCCTCCTCCAAGTACTTGCATCTGAGGTGATTGCCTCACTCTGCCTAACAGCAGGGTTGGCCATGCTCAACCTCAGCCTTTGTCAGGAAGGGCTGAGGTCGCTGAACCCAAGTCCCCAGTGCTGCATCATCCATACAAGAGCCAGCCGGTGAGAGGACAAGGCAACTTCCCCTTGCCCAAACTTCCTTGCTGGACCACAAGCAGCAGGAGGAAGCAGTACACATACTACTGTTCTCTCAAGGATGCATCAGCCCAATCTTTCCAATCCTGGTTCCCCAAGAAAATACACACAGAATCCATCATTTCTACTTACTTGCTTACCCCCACCCTCTCTCTTGAATGAGAGTTAGAGCAAATGGACCTCTTAAAACACCTGCTGCCAACAGTCTGCTCATAATCTCCTATACCAGCTGTGCTAACCGGGACTGATGGAAGTTGAAGTGCAAAGCATCTGAAGGTCACTCAACCAGGGAAAGGTATTCTAGACAGATAATCAGATGCCTCTCTCCAGTTTCTCTTTATCTTGGTGGGTGAGGTAAAAGGATGGAGGCAGAACCATTGTGGTTACTAGGATTGCAAGAAACAAGGCTCAGGGAAAATCAAGCTTCAAATCCCCACTCAGCCATGAAGCTCCCTGGGTGACTTGGTCTCTCTACCCAAAATTAATTAAGGGGCTTGAAGGGGAGGATAAAATGGGGAAGGGGAGAACCAAGGAAGCCGCCTCGAGCTTTTTAAAGGCAGGATATAAATGTAATAAATAAACATGGCTGGAGTTGGAACTGGCTATGCCTGAAGATGGCTACTTAAAATACCACAGGCAGATTTACTCTCCACTCAGACCCAGGTGGTGGTGAATTTATCAGAATTCTGTTCCCCATCTTTTACTGTGTTCACAGAGATATATAAAAAAAGAAAAACCGGCAGCTGCATTTCATCAGTTGTGAAAAAAGATCTCCCAGTTCTGAAAGGGGAAACCATTTTAAATGCCCCCTTAGGGCAGAAGAATCAACATTTTGCTCGAGCAGGGAGGGCACCGGCGTGTGCGCCTCAACCATAAAACAGCAGCCGGGGGTGGGGAAAGGGCTTCAGTTCTTTCTAGTTCAGGCTGCCCGAGAGCGGCTGCGCAACTTGGTATGAAATGAATATTGCAGGGTGGGGTGGGGTGCACGCTGAAGCTCAGTAAATAAGCAAGCAGCATGCATTAATCCAGAAATATAACGCAGTGCTAAGGTCGCCTCTTGGAGACGGGGCCGATCCTGGGTCTCCTGGCAAACCTTTCCCCTTACCAAACAACCCGGCAGGTTCCCTACGCGTCTTAACCCCTTGCTCGGTCGCGTAGAGACGCCTTAACGCACACGCGGAAAGGCCGAGCTTTCCCTTTTACGCGCGAGGAAATCCTCTGAAAGTCTCCTTCGAAGTAAGCCCCAACCGCAGCCAAGTGAGGAAAACGCGCCGGGCTGCAGCTTTGGAAACTCTAATGACAGACCCGCGCGCAAGAACAGCAGCAGCGCCTCGACTATTTGCTACGACGCGGGGTGGGGAAAGAGGGGGGGAGGCACGAACACCAGCTTTAAAATAACGGATGGGGCAGCCCTTTAAGGGGAAAAGAAAAAGTTCTATCGAGTCCGGAAATTGGCGCTGCATATTTCCATCTATATTTTTTAATGCGTCTACAGCTGCTTCCAGTTTTGAAACCCTTGCGGGAAGAGGGGAGGAGCTAGCGGCGCGCGGCCGGGAAGGCTCTGCTTTGCGATTGGCTCCCGTAGCGGCCAGGAAGCCCGGGCTGCGCCTTTTTCCCTGCTGGAGGAGGCGACGCCCGCTCGGCGCTCACCTGCTCCTCGGCCGAAGAGTGGGTGTCTCTCCGGCGACAGACGTCTACCCAGCCGCGGAGCCGCCGGGCGAGCCGGCCCAAGCGCCGCAGCGCACGCATGGCGCCCCGTGCCCTTCGCAGCGGAAATGGCATCGCCGAGCGCGCCGGGTCATACGAAGGGCGGGGCTGCAGCCGCTCCTCCCGCGGCTTGGCAACCCGCTGACTTCTGTCCCTGCAGTTGATACGAAAGGAGCAGGGTTTCGAGGGCCATGCAGGGGAGGGAGTCTTTCTCCCGACTTGGGGCTCGAAGCTGCGACCCGGAGGGGAAAGCAGCGTGGTGCTGGGCTGGGCAGGACGGTAGCTCCCTACTTCACAGGTTGTTATGGGGAATTAAAGGACGATTAAGAATGTAGGCCACTTCTGAGATCCCTGGGAGAGGAGAAAATGCAGGAAATAAATGCTTTTCAAAATGCTGTCATGCTCTACCAGCACTTTGGACAAAGCATGTTTTTATCACAAAACACTCAGTTAAAATAACCCCCCCCCCCAAAAAAAAGACAGGGTTATCCTCAGATGTGGTAAGAGCTGGTCCTGTGGTTCCTTGCTTTTCCCAGGCAAGGGGAATTAATCAGTCAGTGGATGGATAACTTCTACATCCACATGCAAATAAAATTTATATTCACACAAGTTTTAAGTTAGATATGGTTGGACAGTGTTCTCGAAGCTACCAGCATGAGTTTGACCAAACTGTGGGAGGCAGTGGAAGACAGGAGTGCCTAGCGTGCTTGTGTCCATGGGGTCACGAAGAGTCGGACACGACTAAACAACATATTTCAAGGAATGAAATTTACAATTACGCAAAATTCACAGAAGTTGACAGTCAAATGTGAGGCTTCAACTGTGTCAGTTTTATTTCTGGTGTACAAGGTATTCTCTTTAACTGATATCCAAACACACATAAACATAGTACCAAAGAAATATTTTCATGTTCCTTTCCTGTCCAGTTTGTTAAAAGTTTAGAAATACATTGTCAGAACATGACAGTTTTCAGAGCTCCAGAGGGCTCCAATAGGAGAAGAGACTTCCTTATTCACTTTAATGCTAGTGTGAATTTGTACCCACTGTGTACAAGAATATTCAGAGCTGCCCATCACACTTAAATGTAGAGTGGCTTCCCTGATCATATATTCTCATATGCACAAATCTGAACACAAAAGTGTGAAAAAGTACCATTTCAATGTTATCTTAAGAAAAATGCATACACACTAAACCTGTGGCCCTCCAGATGTTATTTGACTGCAACTCTCAGCCAGCTGCAAAATGATGGATGACAGAAGCTTTAGTCGAACAGTATCTGGAGAGTGACAGGTTCCCAATTTTTGTAATAAGTGATTTAATTTAATTTAAATTATTTTCAACTTTTATTGCTTGTAGTTTCCATCCTTAGACCTTGGGGCTTTTGTTCTCAGATAATTCATTTTAGGTTACTATAGTCAAAATCAAATGATTCCATGAAGAAAACTCTCATAATTTTGGATACAATTCCATTTGTTGCACAAGAGCAACACAATCTAACAGGAAGAAATGAAAAATCAATTCCAGGAATGGTCGTTGCACACAGACTATTACTAATAATCTGTTTGAAATCTTGCCTCCAGAAGATAGAAATGGTACTATTCCAGGAAGTCTAGCTGTGGTTCACTAAAGACGTGAGTACAACATCCATTTGAACTCACATTTCTTCTTGGCGGATCAGAGCATGGCAAAGTAACAAGACAATTTGTGAGGCAAATCACATGCAAGAGTGAAGTGCTGTGAAAATGTGACATTCTTAAATACGTTCTGCTTATGAATATAGCTATGGACTTTAATATTTCAAAATAGTTCTGTTAACCAAATAGTTCTGTTAAAACAAAATACTAGAAAAATATAAAAATAGTTAAAATGTACACTTTATACCCCCCCACTTGAACATGCATGTATTTTACAACTCCCCAAAAAGAACAAAAGAAAAAGTCTCCTTGTTGTATTAAGCCAAACTTAAAAACAGTCTTTGCACGTGCACAGTTAAGTTGCATTTGGTCTTGAAAATGTTTTCTTCAGGATTGCAACTATCCTTTCCAGGAAGGAAAAAAAGTGTTCCATTTCCCAAGAGTTTTACTTATGTAAGTTCTCTTGTTCCACATTAACCCTGAAGAAGAATTGGTGAGTCAAGAAGGAAATAGGATTCACGGCTGAGATACCAAGGCAGCCTTACTGTCCTTGCCCAGCAACGTTTAAGAAAAGCAGGTGTCTCTGGAAACAAGAACACAGTGTCTTATACAGGTCTTCCCTTTACATGATACATGCTTCTTTAAAAACTGCCACATGACTGTTGGTTAAGAAATTACTTCATGGGTATCGCTGTTAGGTCTTTGCCGTATAGTCAGTGGAGGCAGCGGCTTTCCGTAGAAATCTAACACATATCAGAAAAGAAACCAAGTTAATATATAAAATGCCATATATCTAGCCATTCTTTTGAAGAAGAGGAACACCAATGTCTGCTGGTTTATTAAGTATGGGGGCATGGCAAAACATACAATACTGAAAAGGTATACCTTTGCCCATAATTTTTTTAACCTATATTTTGCAATTTCTCCTCATGACATTATTTTGTCATGAAGACTTGCGGAAGAAAAATGGTAATGCTTGAAACATTTCACACCAGCAGATACTTTGTCTACAGGTAATGTATTCCAGCGAGGAAAAAAAATAGTATGTTAAAGAAATATAGGAATGGGGTCAAAACATACTATGAAGAAAAAAGAGGGGATGGAATTGAAAACTTGTCTAACCTGAATTGTTGGGATGATAATTTTGATTATATACGCAGGCGCACCCCAAATTGTTGCTGCTGCTATTTCCCCCAACTGCTTTATAGTTAACCATGTGAAGCCCACACTGACCAGGAGCAATAAAGAAAGGGAAAGGAAGAATTTCAAGCGACCATTCAACTGCAGGGTTCCTCCCTCTCTTCCACTGTTTTCCACATCAACAAAGTTAGCTACAAAGCAGCAGCAAATGATAGTAGGGGCTTTTAAGTGGACACCTTCAACTGTAATGTTGTCCAGACACACTAGTTCCAGATTTCCTTGTACACTTCTGAATAGTCATTTGGGGAGTTCTTTTTTTAAGACAATACAATGTGTTTCCTAAGATAAACAGGATTTGGAAAAGGAAAAAGGAGACACCCCACCCCCCACAGCCAAATTAATAAATATAGCTAAGAGAGAAGGAAAACATTCATCTTTACACTCTAAAAAAATCCATGTGTGAGACATGCAAGCTTAATACGTGCAAAATTATCAAGTAAGAAAAAGAAAACTATTGGTTTATGTGCTCAGCAGGAAAGTGAGAGGGCAAACGGAAAAGTGCATGCAAGCAGCTCTTAAGATATTTTTGAATCTGTGGCACCAAAAATAGATGGTAAGCTACATACATCTTACGCCCCCTAGTTTTGATTCAGTTTGTCAAGTTAATTATTTTTTCATACATGACGTTGCATGATGTTAAGTATTGTCATAAATATTTGCTACATAGTTTTCTCTAGTAAAAATATACATGAATCCAATGGCTTTTCTTTCTTTTTTTGCATAGGGGAGTTTTAAAAACGGTTTGAATTTTAGGGAAAATGTCTCAACATCCCCAAAACCTTGTGCCTTCCAGATGTTTTTAATTACCGTATTTTTTGCTCTATAGGATGCACTTTTCCCCCTCCAAAAATTAAGGGGAAATGTGTGTGCGTCCTATGGAGCGAATGCAGGCTCCTTGGCTTCAGCGATAGCAACACGAAGCCTCCGAAGCGCAGAGGAAGTGCTCCCTCCGCGCTCCAAGGCTTCTCTCTGCTTTCGCTGAAGCCTGGAGAGCGAGAGGGGTCAGTGCGCACCAAGCCCTCTGGCTCTCCAGGCTTCAGGGATAGCCGCCTGAAGCCTTGGAGCGCAGCGCGAGTTCCTGCTGCGCTCCGCAGGCTTCGGGTTCCTTTTGCTGAAGCTGGGAGAGCAAGATTCTCCTGGCTTCAGCACAGAGGGAGAGATGCACAGCGCCCCTTCAGCCAAGCGGGAGGAGAAATGGAAGGGGCTCCGTTTCTTCTGCCGCTTCGCTGAAGGGGCGCTGAGCAGAGAGGGGGAGATTTTTTTTTCTTGTTCTCCCCCTCTAAAACAAGGTGCGTCCTATGGTCGGGTGCGTCCTATAGAGCGAAAAATACGGTACTATTCCCATCAGCCCTGACTGGCCATGCTGACTAAAGGTGATGGGAAGTGTAGACCAAACCTTTTGGAGGATTGATGAAGTCTGTTGTTTCTCCTGAAGCTGAAAAGTATTGGAATTCGGGCAAATGCACACTTTCTAACAGAAGATTCTAAACTTTCATTAGTGCCCATAGTAGCATCAAAAAAGCCATGGCACATGACTCTCTGTTCCCAGATTCTGTTTTATCATCTCAAATCTAAGTTGTGGGTCTTCGTTAATGAAATGCGGACAAGAATGCAAGGAACTCAATGACAGATAAAAATTATTAACTGTATTTCTGGGAATCAAATCTATGGGTGATGAATACCATATGCATTCTTGTGTCAGCAATTCACCAAGCTGAGTTACCAAGTGCAATCAGAAGTATTTCTTGCATGAGAAGATTTTCCATTTTGGCTCTACACATCAGAAAGAGAGGGAAAGTTGCTCCGTTTTGGGTCCAAGGATATATATATATATCCCTTTGATTTCCATTCTCATGCTCCAGCCACAAATCGGGCTGCCTTGTTTTGAGCAAAGGGAATGAAATCAGTAAATGCAAGCCCTCCACTCTCCTCCCTACCTCTGTTGTTCTCTCTTTTCTCTTGCTTTCTTCTCTTTATACTCCTTAAAAAGAAAGATGCATTTTGTTACACAAATTTGTGGAAAGGCATATTACGTAACCGTTTCATTACAGTGCAAAGTATTTGTGCTTACCACTACAAGTATTAACTTTTTTTTTTACTTTTTTGGAAAAATAATAGTTCTGCAAATGTATGAAGCTGCTTTCATCCATCTTGGTATCTGAAGTGTGCATGCACACAAAAGCTCATACCAAGAACAAACTTAGTTGGTCTCTAAGGTGCCACTGGACAATTTTTTTATTTTTTATATATATTTCTACTGCGTCAGACCAACAAGGCTACCTACCTGAATCTTCATCCATCTTAATATTACCTATTCTGGCTTGTAGCAGTTCGCTAGGACATGAATCATTTGCAGCCTTTTCTAGGGGAAATCCTTTAAAGTAGAGATATGAGGTCTGGTCTTGTATATACAAGGCATGTGCTCTACCACTGATCTACGGGCATCCCCATTTTTTTGAAATATTGCTCAGTAGAAATGCTTAAGCAATGAGATTATGCTATAGCGCAAAAGCATCTAGATGTATTTCACAGGTCTTGAAATACTTTCCCTCCATTAGTCATCTGAGAAGAAGAGAAAGGCAGCTGAATTTTTAAAAGAATCGGTTCATTTATTGTATAATCAATGAGATTTAGAACAAAGGTCTATTTTAAAACAGATTCATCCCTACACCCCACCTGAGCTTTAGGAATTCATTGATATATGTAAAGCTGGCAATATATGCCATTTGTTTCATTTTTTCTCTCTGGTCTATACCTAAGTACATATTTAGTATTATATGCAATGGGATCCGTTACCACGGGGTGCTGGTTGCTTTATTTGTAAATCATGGTGCAGGGGCACACCAGAGACCAATTTGTATTGATGCAAACAGAATGAAGCAAATACTGTATAAGCAAGATGCAGCCCACACTTTGCTTTAAACAGGAGAGGGGGAGCTAGAAAAAAGAATGAGCTCTTTTCAAAACTTGAAAAAATATGCTATTAAAGCTGCAAATGGTTAGCTGAAATGAAAGAAAAAAGCCAGCATGCAAAATGGAACAGGTTTCTGAGGAAAACCAACAAATTTGTGATCTCCTCTGAAATTACCATTACGACGGGTTTCACCAAGAGGTTCAAGTTTTCGAATTCTGTTAACTTTAGTAGGAGTTTCCCAGCCAACTACAGGAAAAAGAATATCAAAGAGCAACACCACATTGTCAAACAGAAATCTACTGATGCAAACATTCATCTCTGTGAAGATGGAATGTATTCATTCATTCATAACCCAGAAAAGGTTACACGCATATATTTAAAGGCAAACAAACAACATATGCAAATTACACAATCTCACTGAACATTTTCCTTTAGGTGTCAGTGGGAACTAAACACAACATGTCTGCAGAGATCTAGGCTGTTGGGGAAAAATTCATAATATAAATAAACTGTGCATTGAAAATTCCGTTTTAAAACAAGCTGCCAGGGATGAGAAAGAACGTAAGAACAGTCGTGCTCCTTTTTTGTTGCTACTAATGACAAGTACCATCTGTAATGGGCCATTTAATCCAGTTTTCTGCCTCTAGCGGTAACCAGCCAATATTTCTGGGAAACTTATAAGCAGGGCATGGAGAGAAAGAGATTCCCTATATGCCCACAGTCATCAGACTATTTCGAATCTGTGTCACTTTCACATCTGTTCACTTATTATGTTTCCCATTAATCTAGGATTATTATTTTTTTAAGGGCACAAAATGCTTGTATATTCCTTCAATTTCGATTCTATATTTCAATATGGCTTTCACCAAGAACTGCCACCAGAACATTTGGGAAGTGGAAAAAGTGGTGGTTAATCCATTAACCCCAAGAGTTCTGAATCAGGTCAATTATTGTCGGAATTATGGGAATGGAGATCCAATTCCTCAAGCATCTTAATTCCAGGAGTTGTAAAATGATGCTCCCAACTATCTCCCAGTGTGTGCTGGGTGGGGGGAATCCCTCCTAGCAAGAGTATTGTTCACTCTGGAATAAAATCCAACAGCAGCAGGTTTATTCTTAAAATTTCCTGTATGTAATAATAATAATAATAATAATAATAATAATAATAATAAATTTCATTTATATCCCACCCTCCCCAGCCGAAGCCTGGCTCAGGGTGGCTAACAACAATAAAATAATACAACATTCTAAAATCATTTCATTATAAAATTAATTCAAATCAAATTGATGGCAACCATTGGGCTAGAGTTCTGTGAAGATTGCCAAAGGAGGGAGTCAGGCTGTGCCCTGGCCAAAGGCCTGGTGGAACAGCTCTGTCTTGCATGAAAAAAGCCATGTGAGATCTATTTTCCTATTATCTGAAAGGTCACGTGAAATGGCCTTTTTGAAAGTGACATACCAGTAGTTATTCATGTTTACGAACCTGGTGCGAGAGGTGCTACTGGTGTAGGATTCGGGGAAACCGTCTCTTCCGCATTGACTGGTTCTACTCGATGACTCCTTTTCAATTTTAGTTTCTTTGTTTTCTTTTTGCTGTTCTCTAAAGCAAAACACAAGCAACACTTGCAATGTAGCATTTGCATCTAACCAACTCTAATGTTTACTTGTTCGTTTAACAAATAGGTATCCCGCCTTTCTATTTTCAGAATGGCTTATAGTTTCCAAATGGTAAAAACAGTGTAATCCTTTGAAACGGCAATCAAATAAAAACAGCAAATAAAACTGCAACATTAAAAATGACCTTATCAGAGGTTAAAAGGCCTGAATGTACTGAAAGGCCAGATGTACTGAAAGGACATCCACATGGACATTGGGCAAGCCTCCCTGGGGACAACCATTTAAAAGCTGGCTGCCATAATCAAGAAGGCTATTTACAGTTTTCTCTCACCTAAGATAACGGGAACATCTTAGGGAGAGCCTCCAAAGAAGCAGGCCAATCTGGGAATACCTGACTATTTTCAGGCTAGCCTTCCCTACCCTGGTGCCCGCTGAATATTTTGTTCTACGGCTTCCAACATCCCTGACCACAGTCCAGAGTGGAACATCCTGATGGAAGTTATAACCCAACATCACCTGGGGGGCACAATGTTGAGGGAAGGTTAGTTTTGATTAAGGAGCCTCTGACTAACAGCACAAAGCAGAACGTCCCACCAAGTGTGTTTAGGATTGCATGGTAAGACTTTTGACTTTCCCTGCTAATTTCCATCAAAAGATGAGCAAGGTTCTAACCAGAATGACCCTATCAATCCAATGCCTGCTTGCTCAGAACAAGCACAAGTGCACTCTGTGAAATATACAGTGGTACCTTGGGTTAAGTACTTAATTCGTTCCGGAGGTTCGTTCTTAACCTGAAATTGTTCTTAACCTGAAGCACCACTTTAGCTAATGGGGCCTCCTGCTGCCGCCGCGCTGCCAGAGCACGATTTCTGTTCTTATCCTAAAGCAAAGTTCTTAACCTGAAGCACTATTTCTGGGTTAGCAGAGTCTGTAACCTGAAGCGTATGTAACCTGAGGTACCACTGTATAGAGAATTGCAAACTTATTTTGGGTTTGTTTTTATTATTATCATCATCATCATCATCATCATTCAGAATAAAAGATAAAATTCTACTGTTCCCATCTGACGGTATGGGGAAAGGTGAAGTTCCATTGCATGAGTGACTGTCTGCTTGCATGGTGTTGGGATGTCATCTTATAATAAGTTACAACTTATTACAACTATTACAACTTTGCCCTTAAATAAACATGGCAAACTTTCATCATAACGTACTACAGAAACATATTGCATACCTATTATCCAATTAAAACAGTCCAATCTAAGTTTAAGAGCAACATTTGTAACATGGTATCATAACTGGAACCCATCAGCTTACGAAGGAATTAAAAATAAAAGCCCACTCATCAAGGGCCCCCTTTGGTAACAAAGATGAAGGATTTAGAGCAGCTTTTAAACCCCCAACCCATTCACTTCATCTCTGAGCTGAAAATTACACTACAGTACGGAAGCAGGAATCTCTTATGCCATTTCTCTTCTGCAAATGAGGTAAGAACCCCTACATTTCTCCCAAATCCTGTTTAATCAGAAGCAGGAGAAAAAAGCAGCTATCCTGCTGGATCTTCACTTCTCCATACTGTAGTGCAAGTGAAAAATATTTCCTTCCTTTCATCCAACCATTATGTGCATGCTAGAGTACAGAGAAGGGGAGTTGTGGCAAACACAATAGAAGCTGGCTAGCAAGTGAAGCCAGTGTTTATATTACGAGCATGAAACTCAACCCACCTATTCCAGAATTCAAAGTGGCATTATCCCCAGAGTCAAGACTTTCTGAGATTTGCTGGTCATTCTCATCTTCATGTTCCAAACGTTGTGTTAGTGCAGATTTATAGTTTTCTACCAATCTACTCTCATTTGATCGCTGGCTGTTCAGGCTCTGAGTGTCCATTTGCTCCTGATCTGTTTTAGGTTTCAAGGCAATGGAAGACTTCTCATTTTCCTCCCGCTGCCTCTTCTTTTCTTGTTCAATTTTCTTTTCATTCTAACAAAGCAGAAGGAAAAATGCAATTTTTGTAAACCAGCAGTGCAGACATGAAATTTTGGGGTGGACAGTGGAAAAGTCAGCAAAAAGAAAAAAACAAACAAACCTGCAAGGATCAGTGAAAATATTATATTATTATTATTATTATTATTATTATTATTATTATTATTAAAATCATTTGTAGCACAAACTAAGCAAAACGTTTTATAATTGTTTACATTCAGCTCAGCAATAAATCTTCAGAGAGAGAAAGGGTGCCTCTATTTGAAGCGAGTTCACAGTGAGCCTAGATTTTTTATTAATCTCCTAGGTAGCACACCATCCTTTCTGCTAGATCATAGATAATCAATAATATAAAATGAAACTTCAGCTATAGAAGACTTAATCTCTGAATATTAATTAGTTTCTGTATTCTTAGTAAAGGCATGCTATATTCAACTTTACATTTTAATTGTTTTTAAATGTCAGGCATTTAAAGGTTCAGCTTTACAAATATTTTCAGTAGTGTTAGTTTAGTTCCCGTGTATGTACACAGAGATTACTGGGGGATTCCACAAACAAACCACTGTGTATAATGTACTTAGACTTTGTAATATAGCTTCTTCCTTGCTGAGAATACTAAGCTTTTAATCACTTACATTGATTTCGGAAGCTGAGCTGCTGACATTTTTTGGTAATATTATTCTAAACCAGTTTAACTAAAAAAAAAAAAGTGCTGCTATTATGAAGGCAGTTCTGACCTTAATATATGCTTCCAAAGGTCTTTGGCTCATGAGGAAAGGAACAATCAAGAGTGGTCTGAGTAGAAGGAAGCTGATTTTAATGCAGCTCTTTTGTTAACACTTGTTTTTGTTTTGAATTATATTTTATGTTTTCAGCAAATTTGGAAAAGCAGGAGCATATACATTTTCAAAGAAGCTCACAGAAATGAAGTATCTATAAAAAGTTAGATTGCATAGATGTAACAAGCCCATACTTAGTATTTTTCCTAGAACAATGATGGCTATCCTATAGAATGAGTGCCAAACCTGGTGCAGCAGCAGAAGTTTATGGCGCTCCTGGATAGGAGCCAAGCCTACAGTCCTAAGTATGGCACTCTTGTTTGCATTACTTGCAAGGGGCTGCTGCCTGATGTGCAGACATGGAAGAGGGATACTGGACTGTATATGTACAGTACTATAATATGAAATACCAAATAGTTTGGGATTAATTTTGGAGAACTGCCAAACGAGATGTCCACCACAGTCTTCGCTTGACTATTTAAGATACTGACTTGTAGCCAATGCTGCTGTTCAGTTTGTACAGCAGAGTTCCATTTGCACAACAGAACTTCCCCCTCCTCTGCCTTGCAACCCCCCCCCCGCCACCCCCACATTCAACCTCAAAATCTGCTCCACTGGGTTGGGGACCCTCTGGAGCAGATTAAGGAGACACACATGGGAAGAGGAGAAGAAAGTCCCACAAGTGGAACACCATGCTCACACAGCACTGGAAACAAACCAGTTTTTAATATTATACATTGAATATTTAGTCTGACTGTGGGAACATATTTTAATCAATGTTAATAACTTCCAAGTAAACAATGGTGATGATCATGTTGAAAATCCCTTACTTGAATACGTATACTGCAATGTACCTCTTTTAAAACTTCTAGACCATCTTTTTAAACCCAAACCAGCACTTATTTAGGATTCTATATATTGGTAGGGGCAGTTGCTGATCTGTGTTACTCCAAATACGTTTTCTATTAAGGGGAAGGTTGAGCAGGAAAAATCACTTCTAATCAACACTGACTCAGAATCCATATCCATTATTGAACAGTATCAGTCTCAAATATATGGATTATCAAAAACATTTTTTAAAACACACGAATGTTCTGATACCTCAGTGATTACAGCTGATATAGGCTGGAATGGGTTGTCTCTTATTGGTTCAGAGTCATCCTCATTAGGAACACTTCTTCCTTCTCGTTCTGCTTCTTCTCGCTCTTTCCGATCTCTTTGTTATTGTTGTTGTTTTTTAAAAAAGAAACACAGAAGATCTTCAATCCACACAATTCCAAAGGAAATGCCATTTAGGTTATGCTCCTTAGCACATTATAAGGGTTTAAAGCATCTCATGTACATTATGTCAGTCATCCTTGCAACACCCCTTGTAACAAATGCGTATTATTCCTCAAATTGCAAAGAACGAATGTGAAGGTGAGAGCACTGGCTTTTTTGAGGCCAGCCAGCAGGGGCTGAAATGAGATCCAAGTCTGAAATGTCCTGGCTGATGGCATGCACTCTTTTAGCTATTAGCACCACCAGCTTTCAATATGCATTTGAACATGCATTCTGTTCTATCCTTAAGGCAAAAAATTGAGTGCAAAATTCTTAATAAAATCAGAGCAAGATAAAATTCAATATCCCTATATTTTCCGAAGATTTTACCGCGCACAAGACCACCACCTGATTCTCATGACAGGTTTCTCCAATTTTGTTGTTGTGGTATTGTTAGCAGCACCTATTTTGGATGATTTGAGACTTGCCTGTTCTTTGAAAGCACACAAGGGCAGCCTTATTTACCAGGTGCAGCGAGTAGGAAGATAGATAGAAGGGAGTTGAGTGTGTTTGGGAACCTCTGATACAGCACACTCCATAAAGAGGAATCATTTGACTAGCTTGGAGGTAGTCCATGTGGTGCTTCTGGACAATTTAATTCAGACAAACAGCAGTCAGGAACCAAAAGGAAAATAAAGGCATGGGGGCAAGCCAGGAAAAAGGTGGGGAGGAGAGAGAAGAGGAAAAACAGTGGCAAAGAGGCTTGTGTAGGACAAGGGGGAGAATTAGGAAAGGAGGTTATGGTTGTCAACCATATAAAGTTTTCAGTATACAGGACTTGTGAGTTAGAAGCTCTGCTGGAACCAAATCTGTATTTCAAAGCACTTTTCTGAGAGGTGCAAGCAACAAGAAGCATATTGATTTTTTGTTATAGTTTTGAAAACTTTCGTAAGAGATTTGGTGTATGATCAATGTACATGCTGCATTCACTGTAACTTAATTACTTATTACATGGATTTTTAATCTTTCCTACGTTATCTCATCTATGTTTCTGCACACCATATACTAAAATGACCAGAAAAGGCAAACACAATGCTCCCGTAAAATCCACAGAGACTTATAATACTGCATATCTATTGTTTGCTTTAAAAAATATATATTTTCAATCCTAGAGACAGCAACAGTAGAAATCATGGGGACAGAAGTGAAAGAGGAAAGCAGAGAGATTTGGAAAAGAAGTCATTACTATGATCAAAATATCAACATCTCTTTTCTGTTATAAAGCTTCAGTTTGGAAAGAGATCACTGTCTGGACTTCTGTCTACAAAGCTTTCTCCAAAGCATGGTACTATTTTCACCTTATTTATCATAGAATAGGAACGGAAAACTATAGGAACACGAGACTACTGAGAAGCCATTTCTAGGATGCTGACCTGAAGTGAGAAAAATTGGTGCAAAGTATCTGCCTTTTACCGCCTCTTTATGAACCATGCAGAATTTTCTGCAGCTGCCTGCCTCTAATCTTTACTCTACATGCTTTACTGTATGAGAAAAAGTGCTCCTAAATGCATGCAGTCATGGAAATAACTTGATACTGTGCAATCTTACATCATCTACAACTTCTACCAAAAACAAGCTTACAGGGCGAACCTAATCATGTCTACTCAAAAGCAACTACCACTAAATTGAATGGTGCTTATTCCAAGGTAAGTAGAGTTAATGTTGCAGCCTCAATGTAATGACCATGCCTAGTCATTAGAGCAAGCAAGCTAGATGCTTGAGCACATGGACTCTGTATGCTCAGTGTGTAAACACAATGTTTCTCTGCTGCTTTTGAAAGTTTAGAAACTGCACTGAAGCACAATACATTTAAATACATTTATTATCTGGACTGATTAAATGATACTGGAGCGCTGTACTTTAGAATGGTCATTTAATGTGTGGACAGTACACCCTGTGCTGAATAAAACACAAATCAATGGAAAAGATTGGCATGTTAAGGAATTATGAACACAGATTGTTTTTTTTAAAAAAAGTAAACAAAAACCTCATGTGGTCGGTCAATAAAATCACTCATGGTTGTTTTACTCCAGAATGCTGTGCACATCATAATAACAGCATGTAAGAACCTGAACCTAGCCCTAAGATTTTGCAAGGAACAGCAGGCACCACCACAGCAGGCATCACTGTAACAGCCTCACTCTAATGATGCTCCAGGTTCTGACGAAGTAGTTGACGACTTCTACCACATGATTGGGATGCGGGTGACGCTGTGGGTTAAACCACGGAGCCTAGGATTTGCTGGTCAGAAGGTCGGCGGTTCGAATCCCCACCATGGGGTGAGCTCCCGTTGCTCGGTCCCTGCTCCTGCCAACCTAGTAGTTCGAAAGCACGTCAGAGTGCAAGTAGATAAATAGGTACTGCTCCGGCGGGAAGGTAAACAGCATTTCCGTGCACTGCTCTGGTTCTCCAGAAGTGGCTGAGTCCTGCTGGCCACATGACCCGGAAGCTGTACGCCGGCTCCCTCGGCCAATAAAGCGAGTTGAGCGCCGCAACCTCAGAGTCGGTCACGACTGGACCTAATGGTCAGGGGTCCCTTTACCTTACCACATGATTACCAATACTCTTGGAAAGCGACAATTAACAGCTCTGGAGGGTAGGACTCAAACCAATGGCTTCAATTTACAAGAAAGGAGATTCCAACTAAACATTCGGAAAAACTTTCTGACAGTAAGAGCTGTTTGGCAGTGAAACAAGACTCCCACGAGAGGCGGTGGACTCTCCTTCCTTGGAGGCTTTTAAGCAGAGGTTGGATGGCCACCTGTCATGGATGCTTTAGCTGAAATTCCTGCATTGCAGGGGGTGGACTAGATGACCCTTGGTCCCTTCCAACTCTATGACTCGATGATTTAGCAATCTCTAACACATGTTCTTTTCCTAGTTCAGTTAAATAGTAACTTTATCATTGTCATGGAAGATTCATTGACTGTTCCCCTCCAGGGCACCCATAAAGACACCAGTAAACAAGGTTGTGCACATTACACTTGTCTGAGATGCGATGTTGTTTCATGCTGTACACAACACTGACATTTGGTATGATGAAAGGCAGTAGAAAAAATGTTTTATGTAACTACTTACATATCTTGGTAAAGTATTTTTATTTCCCTTTGGGGTTGCTATTATATTTATTTCAAAATAAATATTTTAAAGTAAATATACGTTATGTTATTTCAAGTTGTTACGTTACTTCAAAATAAATAAATGAAAGTTATTATGCTACTTCAAACTAAACAAATGACATTCTTTAAATAACTAAATATATTTTATTTTAAAAACAACAGTGTTTTTTCATACAGTCCCTTCTTATAAAGCAAAACAAACATACCTTTCTTCCCGTATCTTCCTCACTCGTTCTGCCCGCTCTCTTTTCTCTTGTTCTTCAGCTGCTTTTTGCTCTATGGTGTCTTTCTGGATTCGTTCATGTAAGGCATCAAAATCTTTGGCTATAATATGTAACAGCCAGAGTAAACCTTTCTTTATAGATTTGTCAATTTTCTTTCCATAGCCCATGATCGCTGAACAAGGCTCCTATATGCAAGAGAAAAATCAGCAGCATTATATTGTTAAATTACTATCAACGTGGACGAAGAGATCCTAGCTCACTGGCAATTATACAGGTGCTTGTCAGTTGGAACTCATACACATTTTGATTCATCTCCGTACTGAACTGTAAAGGCTGCAATCCAGAGAGATGCAGGTGCAGGTTTGCCTACACACTCCAAAAATGGCTTTCCCAGAGGCTGCTATATATGCCATCCATATATATATATATATTTTTTTTCCCAAAATATGAGAAAATGATCACTTTGGCAATTTGGTACAAGAGCAATTTAAATGAGGATTTAGACACTGGAAATTTTTTTCACTAGGGTTCTTCGAAAGCAGTACACATGTGGCATAACATTAATGGAATTTAAAGCACTGTCATCTTAAGTGAATCTGCCATGTCAAAGAATAAAATGGGAGAAAGGATGACCCCACCATGCATTCAAGGGGTGTGTGAGGACGGTTGTGGGGCTGAGCTTACTAGCCCTGCTCCCATGTGTTTGGAATAAGTGCACACCAGCATATCGCACAGATAGAAATGTTCCAACAAATACCACAAGCCTGGAATAAAACTTACGGTGAAAGACATGTTGGGAAGACTTGCCATTGCTTAAACTATTCCACTCAGTTACTCTAAAGGTTACTGATCCCCACCACACCCCCGCCGCCACCTTTTATGAGCAACATTTGTTAAATAAATAAGTTAATAAAGCTCAAGAGCAGCAGTTAAATTCAATGCAATGATGGACACTACAGTGGAACAGTAGCCTAAAGCATTTGACTGGTGGCAAAGGCTAGGGTGGGTTTGGCCTTAATTTCCTTACAGCTTGGATATTAAGCCGCTGAAGCAAGTCTACCTGTCTTGTATTAAAACTGGTGCAGCAATCACAACCAGAGCTCAGGAGTACAGAAGAAGAGAAATGGCTGATTGTAAAGTGGATGGGAAGAATGGGATTACACAATTCTAGTTTCAAAGTTCTGCTCACACATCAGGTTTAGGGAAGTTAATCAATCTTATTAAAATGAACCTACAATTAATCTTATTAAAATGCACTTACAATCTGACAGAGACATTTGTGCTCGTTGACAAGCTTTTCGAGAGATAAACACTCAATTACATCTGCTTCTGCCAAGGCGCCTTCTTTATCCTGCTTATTTGCTAACCTAAGAAAAAGAAAGCCACCAAGTGAGAAGATGCCACAGCGCTGTTTACATTAGTAAACGTACAAGACAACAAGCAATAGCAGGAGAAAATCTCAATTTATGTGTGTAATAGAAGGCAGTGACAGTCTCCGATATTGCCCATTTACAATAATTACTCCTCAGAGGAATAAGTTACACATAATGGTTAATTATCAGAAAAGGAAAATCATAACATTGTATTAATTACTCTTAAAACACACAGTATACACTTCTATTTATTTTTTTTGAAGCAGGTGAATGTCAAGCTTATCATTTTGTTGTAAATTGTTCCAACAAAAGGAATGCACAAATTCAAAGAGTTATTTTTAAGTAGAGTTCAAAACTTGTTGTATATTCAGTGGCCAGAACCATAATAATAATAATAATAATAATAATTAATAATAATAATAATAATAATATCTTTATTGTCATTACCCCCTCTCGGGGACAACGAAATTAAAAGCTCTGTATGGTGTTTCATGCCTGCACGATAGCTATTCCTAAGGGCTGGCGCTCTATCTCGCTCTTGCGTACGTGCTCTCTCTCTCTCTCTCTCTCTCTCTTCTCTCTCACACACACACACACACACACACACACAGGGATCAGTCACTCTGTACATTCACACGATAGCACTTTGTGCATGCTTGTTGGCCTCTGAGGACCCCAGCATTTCCTCCCCTCTATATTATCTGTGATCCCTGGCACTGATATGCATAGTCTAAAAATTCCTCTTATTTGCATGCCAAGTATCCGATGTTCAGGGGATTTATTTTTAGGAGTAGAATCATATTAAGCAACAGGCATTTGCAATGTAAACCAGCAAGTCCAGTAAGAAGGAAGGCAGGCAATGGCACTTCCTGGTGCTGCCTCATTAGAATAGAATGGCCCGCCTTGAAAGCAAGGCTGGGTTTCCAACAGGCAGAACCAGATTCCCCAAGCGTAAAGTAAGCAATTTGCTCTGTTGTACAACGTAACTAGTGAAGGCTCTCATACTCCACAGCTTTCGAAGATGCACTTTCCCAATGATCATTAAGGTCTAGGAGGATTAAGTAAGCAGAAACTGTTTTAATGGAAATCGCACTCCTGCTCTGTTCTTTACCCTCACAAGGATATTGCAAAGCATCTTGAAGCACCAGCTCCTAAAGAGGCTTCCGGCAACTCAGGATTTTAAAAAAAGGTAAGTAGTTTGGTTTTATTTTACATCAAATAATACAAAGTAGAACACTGAGTAATTTAAAAGCCCCCAATGTTAAGATGTGTTAAGAATACAGGAGACGTCTGCCCTCTGCAAAGTTTGAAAACATTTCCAATAGATATGTTTGTAGAGCTTTATTACTTAGGTACATGAATACTAATCTGCTAGGCATGTTTTATGCACCCAAACTCGTTTCATTTGGAAGCATGCCAGCAGCAGCTTAAAAGATGAGAGTTCATTTTTAATTTTCCAAGTCAATAAAACCATTCTATGCACAAATTCCTCATTTTAAAACTGAGGAAGGTTCACAGCAAAATATATACTTGAAGCAATATTCTGGGAGGTGGGTGGTTGTAAAGTTAAGAATATGTAGCTAAACACTGCGTGAGGATTCTTGTTTTATTTACTTGTATGCTTAATATACCTACTTGAATATGGTGTGGAATCAAGGAAACAGAAAAAGGTTGTAAGAGCCTCAGGGGACTTTATTACAGTTGGAGAACTTCAGCACTTTTATTTTAGGAATCATGGGAAAGGGAGTGTATGTGTACATTTGACAGAAATGACATCATCTTACAATTATGAAAAAAAATATGAGTACTGTATGTGGAAATGCTTGCAGTCAAAGGTCATGCTCACAGATAACAGATGTAATGAAACTTTACTCCAGGATTTCCGTAATCCTCAAAAAGCTGGGGTATGATTATAAAAGGTTAAAACATGATTTTTTAAAAAGTTCAGCTAAACTTGCCTGCTGCAAGCTGCAGGGTTAGCACAATGTAATGCCTCAGATGGCACTTTCATTGATACATTAGAAATTTCCTATGAAGTCTAGCTTTACAAGTGATTTAAAAATGTTCTGTTTCTGTACTCTGAATTTAGATAGCGGCTTTTCATATTTTCTGCATTCAGAAACTGCCTTGTACACCAACTTGTCCGTCAACAACTCCCCTCAAAACAGAGAGTATTCTATAATAATTAGGGCATGCTGGCAAGAGCCTTCACTGCCAGGTTGCCCAAAGTCACTTTATATTCCAGAATGCTGGTCTTCAAATGGTAAGTCACAACATGACCTAAAGTGGGTCTCAACTGTAACATTACCACCATAGAAATATACATTAAAACATTAAGAAGTGAGCTCTGGAAAGCCTTGTTGGGGCTAAACAATGGATCCCAAGTCTAAAAAGGTTGAAGACTGCAGCTCTAAAACACCTGCAGCATTTCATACATTGGGGTCCCGCCTTTTGGAAATATTTTTCTGCCATTCTTGTTATTCTCCTAGAGAATGTCAGGGTTCTTCAAACTACACTTCCGGAAAGACTGTTCTAGACAAATGCTGCAATGTTAACACTGCAAACACTCAAAGGAAACATTAAATTAAGTTATCAACAGATTTTGTATCTCTTAGCCTGATTAAATGTGCAATAACCACTGTAAAGATTTCAATGACTAGCTCAACTGCAGGGTATCCAAGTCCTTAGAGTATTTCACCAATATAGAAGTAGACATTTTGTTAAGCAGCTGAAACAGTTCAAGACTCCCTGTTTACCAGGGAAAGCGTCAACAAGGGAACAAATCATGCCTGCCCTGCAAAACTCGCAACACAAAATCTGTCTTGCAGTGACAATCAAAACTCTTGCAGAGAACAATTCCTACCTCCAAGAGTATTGGCACAGCCCATATGAAACTGTTCATAACTTTATTCAACAAACAGTACAGTTGCAGTTACAAATACAATTGATTTCTCCAGTCACCAAGAACATTAACTCAATTTATTTATGGTTCTTTCCAAGTAAGGCATACATTTATGGTGCTGGTTTTTTCAAGTTTGTTGCTGCCGATTGGCAACTGAAGCTCTGGTTTCATTATGAGCTGTTTCTTATTACGAAGTGCTTCTCCTCCTCCTCATTTCTGAATCACACTGCCTTTCTCTGGGAGTATTCATTTAGTGATCTCCACCCTGTATCATTTGGTTCTCACCTCTGGAATAATCAACTCTCATCCAATACTTCGTTATATAATAAAGCTGTTGTAAAAACGATACATGTGTTGACCCTAGTCCAACACCAACAATCTTGAATAGAAGGGCAATGCTATTCTTGAAAAATGAAGATATTCTATTCCTTATTTGAGACTTTAAAAGATTGAGGTAGGGAGAATGCAAACTTCTGCCATAGAAAAAGCAATGTAGAATCTTCACAAGGCATTTTATATATATATATAGGCGGAATACTGCAATAGAGTGGTAGGAGAGGATATATTTACAATTTCAAACATTTTTTATTTAAATTAAATTTTCTTGTATCCCAGCAGCCTGCAACAGAATGATAAAGCAAGCAGCAAATATAAAGTTGTGGCCAATGAAGCTGCTACACAAGGACTTTTGCTGGTGCAATAGAACTTCCATTTCCTTTCCTCACCCTGTGCGCCAGCAAATCTGTTCTAGGGGTTCCCCCAATCCTCGGGAGCAGATGGGGGGCCTGAGAGGAGAGGAGATGATGAGGAAGTTCTACTGAGCCAGCAGAAGTCCTTGCACCAGTGGGATGAATTCGAAGAATAGTAGCCTAACATCTCAAAATGTTGCGTACTTTTTAGAAAGCAACAGCAGCAGAATGATAAAATGCCAAAACAGCAAGTAACAGGGAAAATAAAAATTGTCATTAAAAACAAATATTTTTTTAAAAAAATAGTTTGTCCGGATGCCTAAAGGAAAGGATGGCCTTCAGAAAGAGTGCACCCAGAATGAGATAACACTATTCAAAAATTTAAAACAAAAAAAATTCCTTCCAGTAGCACCTTAAAGACCAACTAAGTTAGTTCTTGGTATGAGCTTTCGTGTGCATGCACACTTCTTCAGATACACGAAGAAGTGGTGTATCTGAAGAAGTGTGCATGCACACGAAAGCTCATACCAAGAACTAACTTAGTTGGTCTTTAAGGTGCTACTGGAAGGAATTTTTTTTTGTTTTGACTATGGCAGACCAACACGGCTACCTATCTGTAACAAAAATTTAAAGAAATCTATCCCAGCTGCTAGTCATTTCACCTTTGGAAATGGGAGCACCAACAGAATAGTGTCTTGAGGAAGATCTTAACACTCAGGCAAATTCATACGGGGGCAGATACTCTGATCCCAAACTGCACAAGGCTTTTTAAATTAAAACGAGGGCAATCATATTGAGTTAAAAGCAGAGTTTTGCATTGTTCCTGGAAGCAAAAGAGGCTAGTGCAAAGTCTATTACAGCCATTTTCTATTCTTTGTTGTGTAGACTTGTGTTTCACAGCTAGAGAGATGTAGCAATGGAATACTGAGCCTCTTAAAAAGCATATGAGCAACAGCCAACTTTTAAAGGTTTTATTTTTAACTGTAATAACAAGGCTTCAAGAATTACAGTTTTACATTAATTCAGTTTAATGCAATCCAAGTTAGTGTTTTCTGCAGGTGACAAAATAGAGACTATCGTTCTGCCACTTAATTACTAAGTGGTTAGACATACTAAATTAATGTTGGCCAGGGATGTGTTAGACTGTGCTAAGAATATTTTCAGGTTGGTACCCTGAAGTCTCTATTTAGTACATCAGTTCATTTTTACATGCACCAAACTGATTTAAAAAGAAAAAAGAATATGCTAAATTGTACCAAGCAGTTTTGTAACATTACTGAAGAAAGTCATCATAAAATTTTCTGCTCTAGAAGTCACAGCGTTTTGCAATGTATTATCAGAACACAGCTTATTTTTCTTGTAGACTGCAAGTTTCCAACAACTGGTACTGAAATATGCTTGCC